CGATTAGTTGGGGTAGGACAGTCATTAGACTCATCAATAATTAATTATACTATCGCTATACATTAGTATTAGCGTTAGATTAAATTTAGCTACGTAATATTAACTTTGTATAGCGAATCTCAAAAAAAAAGTAATCAGTTAAAGGGTTGGATAATCAGTTAGACATGAATTTTTGTATTAAAATTTTGATTTTTAGGGTACTTTGTGGATTTTTTAGAGTACTTTCTGGGACAGGTTGATTAGTTGACTATATACGCGATAATTATTTGATGGTCGTTACTGCTGAGTTTGTTAAATTTGGTGAGATTACGGGAAGGAAAAAAAATAACAATATAAAGAAAAATAACTTGGATCTGATAAGGCTGGGAATTTTTATGAAAGATGCTCTCGATATTCTCATCAAGAAGATAGGAAATGATTGTACAACTTTTGCGTGGCAAACAATTGATGAGTTCGTATATTTTTTTTGCTTTGCTCACATGATCATTGTTTGTAGTAACGTCATGGACAGGATACATTATGGTTCTATCTGCATCAGGACTCTATATTATGTTTGATATGGGTAAAATTGAACTTCCCAAGTCTTTTTAAACCTGTGGTCAATTCATTGACAGCATTGGCAATTTGTTTACATTTACTGTATGTCTTTCGATATTCTTTTCTGGCTTGATTATTCTTAACTCTAACCAGTGACATTTGTTGTAAATCCCAGGAGAAATTCGAGTATGAATGAAATGCAAAAGCTTCATAATGATATTAACAAAAAGAAAAAAGATGCTAATATTCCTGTAGAAATCATCAATAGATTAAGAGCTACATTAGGAACACCGCAGTTTAAAGAAATAGTCAAACGTAAATCTTAATAATATTATGCCTTTAATGTGTTTGTGATGTTTATTTTACGAAAAATCTTCATATAAAAATTAACTTTTTCATGCAAGAGTTTTGGAATTTTTAATTTTTTATCGCATAAGGCAGTAAACCGCATTCTATTAATTAAGTCGTAAGTATTATAGTTCAAAATGAGGATAAAATATACATTAAAAGACGTGAATGCAGTAGCCTTAGAAAGCAGGGCTATATATGCCTCTCGAAAGAATATATTAATTACCAATCACTCATGAAATGGAGATGTGCAAAAGGTCATGAGTGGCAAGCAAGATTTTCTCACATCAAAAACGGTAAAAATTGGTGTCTGTATTGCGCGGGTAATGCATCCCATACTATTGATAGGCAGATAGCTCATAGCAAAAACGAGCAGTGTTTATCTGAAAATTATGTCAATTCTAGTTCTCCACTTTTATGGAAATGCTCTAAAAACCATGAATAGTATAAAGCACTATATTATGTAAAAAATCGTGATGCGGTCAACTATGTTTGACAAAACTATAAAAATTAATTATTTTTGAATTTAGTGATCTGGATAGTGATCAGATTATTTATCACTTTTTATATATGCTTTAATAGTAAAAGATGACTTGCATGTTTTTAGATGTTTAGAGCGAATTGCTTTAAATTATTCGATTAATTTAGCATAATTCTATTCTTAAACACGTTTATAACAAAGTTACGTTAAAAAATTTTA